AGGGGGGGGGGGGTTATACAGGAAGTGCCATAAATGCACATATAGCCACCTACACCAATTAATTACTCTAGGTGGCTGCACACCACGTAATTGGTTATCCCGAGCACAGACATACGCCCACAATTTATGTTCTATGGCCTCATGCACCCATGTGGATAAAGCCTTATACTTACGTGTCCGCCTCCTTTTGTCTGGATTTTTCTGTGACTTTATTCATAACCGAATCCGACAGATTAAGTTTACCTGGAAACCATTAAAATATAATTCTTTACTCAAAAATCTCAAACACATTTTGATAATGTATTCCCAAAATCTGCATTAAAAATGATCAGTCATGTTTTCATTTATACACAGGAAACAATTTATTGTGTAGCTTTGCCTGTGTTATTGGTTGCAGTCATGAGATCATGCACATGAAACTTCAGTGGATAATAAGCATTGGGCTGATGCCCTCACTTTTACTACTGCCACCCATCACCCCCATACTGTTAATATCTAATCTATGATGTGTATAACTGCATGCGATATGAACACAGCCTGGCTAGCCCAGGAATACACAGAGTTTACGCATTTTAGGCGCTACTGCATACTGCAGCTTGTATTACTCTGTCTGTAGCTTGACACTGAGACGTGCATGTGCTTAAAGCTGAATGCCAGGCAAACAGCTAAATGTACAGATAAAATACATACATGAGAGCCATTTTAAATGGCAAAGGATTTGTATATCTGTCCATCCAGTCATTAGACTTACACAGCTCTTACACTTTTCCTTACCACTACCCTGTGACTGGACAGTCTCTTGCTTCTCCCTCCTTCTGTCTAAGCTCTGCTGTACAATAGATAGTAAAGAGGCTAATATCAAGTCAAATTCAGGTATTTACACTGCATTTAAAAATACACTTGCACTTTTACACTTGCATTTAGAAATGATACAATTTATGATGTATTAATGATTACAGAGATGCAATAATTTGTGCATTTATATCTGCCTGAAGTTCAGCTTGAAGTGCTTGATTAGTATACAGTGTTCTATATACGCAACATTTTCCTTTGTCTGATAAATCACATATGCTTACCTAGATTAATTTTATTTTCATACTTCTGTAAGACCTTATCTGTCACTGTATATGCTTTCGATGATCTGTTTTGCATATCTTGCCTGTTGCCCTAAAATATAAAATACTCACTGGTAAGAAACCTTCATATTAGTTGTATGGTAGCAGTATTAGTATTTTAGCAATGATATTGACATATTTTATTAGCTGGTATTTGTGTGAAATCAAAGAATCAAGTTCACTATTAGAAGAATGATACTCCAGTATCCAATTCCTGATCTAAATAAAATTAAAGAGCAGCTCTATGTTTATACATGAAGGTGAGACTCCAGGAGGGAATGAGTGGTGAATGCTCCCAGACATTACTTTAACCAGGATATTGAATAAGCCATCTGCAGGATTTAGGACATATAGCCAAGTGTAATTTACTGACAAGACAAGGGTGTCATTTCCCTGTAACTGTCAAGCACGTGTCCTGTATGCCAAATCAATCCATCTCCTTGCAAATGACTTAAAGGCTAATTCCACTTCATTAATGATTTTCTCCAGCTCCATAACCGAAGGTGTGTGCCTCTGTACATGCCTGGTTCTAAGGAAATAGCCTGTGCATTGTAGCTGTTATCCACTGATCATAATCACCGTGCTTTGTAGGCTCCAATACAAAAAAAAAAAAATAATTAATTCACTTTTTTTGTTTTTGCAATATGGGAACATTTATAATTTTTTTTGCAAAAAGTGGAATATGTCTTTAAATGCTAGGTCATAGTAATCAAAAGAGGAGCAAGAAGCGCCAGCCACAAATGGGTTTTAAATTTATTGACCAACCTTTGTGCTGAAAGCAGAAGTGATTCAACGAGCTGCAAAGCCACCCAATCACTTTTATGTTCCTTAAACATATGTACCGCTAGCCCCCCTTACCTTCTTCTTTGGTCTTTGCCATAATATTTCATATTTCAGAAAGCCTGTTTTCAACTCCCCAAATGTTTAAAACTAAAGATTACATTCAGCAGTACAACCTTGGATTCACCAAGCCAGCAGAGGAGCTTCAGTAAGATCTCATGTTTGCAATGACAAAACCGGTGAGTGTTTGATCCTGAACCTGGAAGTACTCAGTTTTAGAGAACCATGTAATGCGTCATCGGTAAATAAAGCACTCTCTGCCACCAATCTCTATCTATAGGACACAGTGGAGATTGTCAGAGAACCATGAAGCCAAAGCCCCCTCAGTTATGCATATGGAAGGTAGATAATCATTTATAGGTAAAATTCTGATAAGTTAAGGCTAAGGACTAGACTTAGATGGTGTTTTCACAAACATCCAACTGTGTACTGGGAAATGGGAACAATATAACCAGTAGAAGCTCTACAGTTTGACGTCTGAAGTGAACACATTATACTCTTCTTCAGGCCCTAGATGTTCAGATTTATTTGCATAAGCACAGGTTTTCTTTAAATGATAAGTGCACTTATCCTTTTTGTTCCCCATTCCTGACCTAAACTATGCCACCCGGCCCGTTCACAGATAGTACTTACTGAGATCCAGCTGTTATGGTTCCTCTATTGTTTACATTCCAGCACCATAATGTACCCTCTGCTGGCCATACCTACACACTACCGCCCCATAGACTTCCATAGAGCCATCTCCTAGCCAGGAGACTGACGCAGGCAGAAGAGAGGCTTGCAGCGCTGGATGACAACAAACAGCGAAGAAGCGGTCTTCAGGTAAATATAGATCTGCAGAAGGCAGGGGTGGGATAATTTAGCTCAGGGGAGTGAACTGATTCTTTAAATGTATTAAAAAGGAATACATTTTGAAACGTGTATAACAGCTATGAAGAACAGTGTGCACAGCAGGCTGATACACCAAACTGAGATAAGCAATTACCTAGCACGTGATTGCCCTGAGAAAGAATTTAGACACCGAGGCTTTAAAAGCCGATCAGCTACAACGGCCTGCAGTGCAAAAAACAAAAAAGAAATCCCTAAGCCCCAATCTGGATCATGACCACAGGTTATAGACCTGGTCTATAATCTAGGTGTAGACCTATAGAAATAATTACACCACAAGCAGATTATGTATAGTACTTTAAAAGTAATAATACCACTATCTATACCTGAGGGTTAGATCCTCTTCCACATAGGTGCTTAAGAACATTTGCACTGCTATCTTCCCAATACCATCCATCATCATCATCATCATCATCTTCATCATCATCATCATCTTCCACTTCCCTGGCATCACCAGAATTCTTTTGGGAAGCAAGTTGTTCTTTCCTCTCAAGAAACTTCTCATAACCATCATTACTATTAAAAAAGATTAACAGACAACATTGTTATCAAAATGAATATTAAAGCTTGCCATACACTTTACAATTATATAAATATAAAATAGGTGCTATCCAAATTTGGACTGCAAAAGCTTACATTTTCTACTTGCTTCTCCTTCTTTGTAATGTTAGAAGGGGCTGAGAGGGGTTTGTTCATTATAATTTGTATAGTAGATTTGAACACTCCTTGTCAGGTACTGTACACTGAGTTTAATGTATATGTATACTTTAAAGCACTATCCATGCCTCCTTATAGTCTCACAAATAGGGATTTGAACATGCCCATCACCTATTAGTGACACTGAGTATCTTACTGATGTACAGGCCGCAGAACAAGAACGGATTATGTTCCCTACCTTCCTCCCCATCCCCTTAACCTTCATGCCTCCCCCCTTACCCATAGCATTACCTTTGTTATGTATGTTGTCTCAACTTGCAAAATCTCAATAAAACATTTAATATGCAAAAAAAATGAACACTCCTTGTCATAACAAAGGGTTAAAGGACTAAAAGCCCGGGTTCTGCATTGTATGTTAATTAAGTTAATGAGAGAAAGACAATCCACAAATTTCAGCCCTACATTTTTCAATAAGGGCAGATCACTGTGGAGGCGCTCGGAAAAAAAAAACCTTGGATTCATCCACGCTACCTATTGCAACAAAACATAAAAAGGTAAGAAGTATTTTTGAAGAAAATATGTTTGGATATGAGGTGTGAATAGGAAGACATAATAAACATATAGAAGGACTTTCACAAATTTGACTACAAAAGTGGAAATACACTTTAAGGCAGCCTATGTAACCACATGAAAAAAAAAAAAGAAAAGAAAATCTTCTACCTGCCCATTTTTTATGTCCACACAGTGTACCACAATGCACAGATGGTCAGCATGTGTTGTGCAAAAACATGAATGCTGGAGTGCCTTTCATAACACTTGGCACCACAATGCACTGCACTGCGTTATTACACACTGCGTTAAAGAATGTATTATGGCAACCAGCAGAACCTTATTGTTTCTCAAACCGGACAGATGATGTCTTTGGCTCCATTCCCACGGGTGGTGCATGCAAACCAACATCCAGGACACGTTTTACAGACCCTACTCAGCACTCGCTGTCATTGCTCTTCCACTACTGAACTGAATGCAATATCAATGCCTGAACACCGCATGTAACATTTTGCTCATTGCAGTGTAACACAATGGCCAACAAATGTATAAGTATACACCGGAATGTTTTTCATTTAATACAGCCTTTCATAACCAGGGTGGAGGGATGGAAATGTGTGCCAAGTTCCCCTTTTGGTGCCCATCTGAAGACAGCATGCCATCCTCCCTGTACAACATGAAAAAATGAAAGCAAGATTTTGGTCAATTCATCCTGAACAAGGATGTGTGGGGGCTTTGTGCAAATCCAGCTGGCTCAAGTCAGCCCAAAAGTGTCTGTGACTCACCCCTCTCCTTGCCTAATCAGCATTCCTTGACCTGAAACTACACAAGGGGGCAGAGAATAATGGCGAGTGTCATTTTTGGGTGAAGGTCCGCTTGAAAGTATGTTGAAATCCAAATGTATTTTATATTAATTTTGGATAGAGTAGGGAGTGGTTAAAACCCGTTAGATTTTGTTTTTCAACTTTGTTTTGTTATAACCTGAACAAGTGCCCCCCATGAGAAGATTTTCCCTCTGTTCCTGTTCTGGTGACAACTCAAACGATTAAAGCAGAACTGGAGCCAAAACTATTTAGTATCTCCAAAGAGAACAAAATCCCAGGGTCACCAGAACTAGTGTCCTCACTGGAAGATTTCCCATCTATTCCTGTTCTGATGGCAACCCAACATTTGGGATTTGCTTTCATTTTTATTGATAATGGTCACCAGGTCCAATAGAGAGAGTTTATCGCCCTATTGGGACCTGGTGATGAGTGGAGGCTTTGGCGTGAACCAGTTTGCCCAGGCCTGCAAAAATAGTCACTGACACAACCCACTCCTGGCCCAATCAGTTGCATGGGGGGAAGGGGAGATTCTCAGCAACGCAGCTAGACGTCACAAAGGGGCAGGGGTTGCCCCTACCGCAACTGATAGGGGGCAGTGAGAGTTTTCTGTGGGTTTTAGCAGACTTGGTTCACACCAAAACCCCTGCACATCACTAATCGCTACTTAGACAACTTTCCAGGTGCCTATACACAGCAGCATACATTATCTGTTCCCGCTGCCCCAACTAAATATGGCCGCCAGAGCTAAGAATCTATACTGCATATGTGCCAAAGGTGTGCTGCCATGTAAGCTCCGGCGACCATATTTAGTTAGGGAGGCTGGAACAGACACCAGGAAAGGAAAATAATCAATTTTCCATTATTAGATCATGACAGGGGGTTAACCTTTCATTACTCTATCAAAAACAAAACGAGTTTGGCTTTATATACACTTAATTGGCAAACGTTTTCTCAGGACTAGTTCTAAGAGAAATACATCGAAGCATGTGCCTGGCTATCTCCATTATTAATGAAGCAACATGACAAGTCCGAGCATGTCATCTACAAATCGCCTGTATGGAAGCCATTCCCTATCACAATGTATGGTTTTAGGTTTACCTACACACACACACACATATATA